TCCTAATTCCTTGTCCATCGTTGTATTGTTATTGCTAACTTTTTCAATATTATGCCTTTAACTATCAACTCTGTTTATGATTTCTTCTTTGTTGCACTTATGTTTGCTGCCTACTTTTTGATTAGCTTACCTTTTACTTTCATGTGTTGTACCACCTTCGTGGTTATTGTTTGAGTTATCAGTTCTGATAGTATTATTCCATTTTCTTTGTATAGAAAAATATATGCGTTGTTCTCAATTGCTTGGTTGCATCTGATACACCTGTTGTGTGTGTATATGTCTGTTCGTCTGATGTTGTTCCTCTCCATCGTTGACAATTCTTGTGCCCATATTTTATTATAAAATGATTGGGTGTTGTGGTCTTCGTAGTTTGTTTATCCTCCCGATAGTTTTGTAAAATATCTTATTTTTACAGTCTGTTTCCATGCTATCTTCTCGTGTTCTTCAATTGTGCTGCGATTTTTGTTCAATAAATACCATTCCATAATATATTTTCTTTCAAACATGTTTCTAATCTCAGTCCTTATGTCCTCTACTATGGGTTTGTTGTTTAACTTGTATCTGATTCCTGTTGCTGTGTTGTCCATTATATTGTTCTCTTCTCTGATCCAGTTATGTTTTGTTTTCTTCGCTTCCATGTCTACCTTTCTGATGTATGTGTCACTTCTCCTCTTCTTGTGTATAAGCTCTACTGTCAACTCTTTCTGTTTGATGGTTTGTTTTATTCTTTCTATTATTTCATTGTATTTCTTTTTGCTCTTAGTACATCTGATAGTCTTTATTGCTGTTTTGCTGTCTATAATAATTCTTGTTGTGCCTTTGTGCATAATGCATGTCAATGTGACCATTTTTTGCAATTAGTTCTGCTCTTAGTGCTGTTGACCTTCCTTTTAGTTTTATTCCTATGCACTTTGTTTCCTTTTGTATACATACATTGATAATTTTGATTGCTATAGTGTGATTACTACTTGCGGTGCCTGCATCTGTGTATGCTTCTGCTTCCGTCCATATAGCTATCTGTTTTCTGAATTTACTAATTGTATTCTTGATACTGTGGTTTGTAAACAGACTTTCTGCTTGGAATTCTTCCGGTAGTGTGATCACTACTTTTGTATTAGGGTCTTTGTTACTGGTTTCCCTTGTTCTTCTTATCATCTCGATACTTGCTGGTAATATTAACGTCTTTAGTTCACTTCTTGTATTTTTAGGATCTCTTGTACTTTGTTTTGTTCTTGCTATTTGTATACTTACACAGCTTGTGTTCTTTGTATGATCATATATACGTTTCCTCTTTTCTTGTGTGTGTGTTCTTTTCGCAAACTTCACATGGTTCTATTGGTAATGCCTGTGGCTGCTGTATATAGTGTCTAAGTGTCGTGGTGTCTTGTTTCCTCTTCTTTAGCTTCCCTATTGTTTGCTCTGTTTCACTGTCGACCAGCATCCAGTCCCTGTTTTGATTTTTAAGTTCCTTTAATATAAGCTTATATGTTTTGTGCCATGCTCTGAATGTGTTTGTTCTATTACCCGGTATCCTTAGCATTTTTCTCTGCGTGTCTATTGGGTCTGTTAATTTCTTTCTTATTTTCTTATAGAATGTTGGGATGCAACCTTCCACTTTCATGTTAAGTGACTTCATGATGCTGATCCATGTGTTGTATTTAGTCATGTCCATGTTGAGGAGTTGTTTTATCCATTTTAATTTTCAACTTCTGAGTCTCTCTCTGTTCCTGCCGAACCATTCTCTTCCCATTGTTTCTTTTATAGTTGTCAACTTGTGTATGTCTTCATACGTGCTTTCCTTTCTTGCTTCAATTGTGATTCTGATGTTATACGTTTGGCTGTTCCTGAGCATGTCATGCGTGAAGTTTTGATTGTTTCTGAAAAGCTTCGGGCATGTGTCTATTACTGGGGTTGGTGTTAATGCTCTCCATTGAATGTTCCTTATGTTGGATTTGATAATGTACGAGACTATATTGTGATGATCTATAAGTGCTTTTGTGTCTGCTGCGTGTTTCTGCAGTTGTCTAGTTTGTAGGTTGAAAATGTTGTATCCTAGGTGGCTGTGGAAGAGAGCATTTGGGGCTGTTATTGCATAATCTAGTTTGTGTTTCACTATCTGTCTTATTTTTCAGATTAATTTGTCAACTTCCCTATTTAAGAGTACCATGTTATTGAGAAGGTACTCCAGTTTTGGGAACAGCATGTGATTCAGTATGTATACTATCTGTTTGTCTGTTATTTGCTTTCATTAAAGTTTGTTGAGTATTTGCATCAACCGTTCTTTTAATAACTGCTTTTGGAAGCTTTTACTGCCTTTCTTTTGTATTCAGATCTCCAGGTACCTCATAGGGTCATCTGTGTGCTTAATCTCTACCCCATTGAGTTTGATTGTGGGTGGGTTGTCTTGTCCAAACACTATTATATGTGTTTTCTGGGGGTTCACTTGGATGTCAGTCAGATTGTAAAATGACTCTGCTGTTTTTATGATGACCTACATTTCTTCTCTGTTGTTTGCCATCTATGTGGTATTATCCATATATGTAGCAACTGATATGTTGGTTCTTTCCACGTGTATATATGGATTATTATATGTTGTCTCCTTCATAATGTATAAATAGCCCTTTATTCTAGATATTCTGGTGATGAGGGATCGTAGTAGATTTTTCAGAGGATTGGGGAAATCGTATTCCCTTGATCGATTCCTCCTAGGACTTCATAAGGGTCCGTGTTCCTGACTGTTGTAATGACTGTGTTCCTTCGGTCATTGAAATTTTTGCTTATCAGATTAATAAAAGTAGTTGGTATCTTGAGCTTCTTTAGTGCAGCCTCGAGCATGTTGATGTTGACGCTGTCGTATGCTTTGGACATGTCTTGAAAGACTATCCAGCATTCTTTTTTGTGGAGCTTGGCATTCTCAATTATGCTGTTAACTATCTTGATTGGTTCTCTTGTACTTACCTTGGGTAGTGCTGTCCAGTTGTGTTCAGATAGGATCAGGTGGACTGTTAGAACTCTTGATAGTCTTAGTGTCAGTATTTTTGTGAATATCTTTTTTATGAACTCTAACTATGTAATTGGTCTGACTTTTGATAAATTATTCTCCCAGTCTGATGTCTTGGGAATTGGATATATGGTACCGTGTTTTCACTCTGTGGGCATCCTTTTGGTCGCTATTACACTGTTGCATATTTTTCTGATTATCTCTGTTGCTTGTGCTCCTAGGTTTTTTAAAGCTTTGTATGGTATTTGTGACACTCCAGGCACAGACTTGCTGTTTGCATTTTTTATTACTTCTGTAAGTTCCTCAGTGTTGATCTCAGCTGTCAAGTCCTTGTACCATTCCGTCTGAACGTGTTTTATCGGCACATATTCATGTATCTATTCCTCAATGATCACGTTGTGCGACTCTGCTTTTGTCCAGTTGACAAAGTGCTCTCTTACTGTTTGCTTGATTTTTTCTTCGTCCAGTATGACTTCTGGTTTCTCTCCTTATGTAATGATTTTATCAAATATGATTTGTGTGCACTTGTTATTCAAGATGCTATTTATCATTCTTTTTTTATCTGTCTCCAACCAGTTCATTCTCATCCTGAGCACTATGCTTATCGCCTTCTTCTTGGACTCTGCTAGCAGTATTTTGCATGCATCCTGCATGGTTTTCCTTATGTTTTTAACTTCTTCAAGTCATTCGGTCATATGGGGGTGTCCATGTTATGGGCTGACTAGTTTTCTCACTATAGATGTTTTTTGATTTTCTGGATACTTTGCAGTGTGTGCGTCTTCGTGTTATCTTCGATGAACTCCTTGGCTCTCTGTACGATCTGCAATATACCTATCAAGCCAATTGCATTTGCTGTTTTAATTGTTACTTCTTTGTTTCTGCTGTAGCATTTATTTTTTTAACTCTCCTTATGTATTTGCTGGTTGCCGTGAGTATGATGTTTCTTAATTTGTTCCACTGGATGTTGATGTCTATCTGTATATCCTTTCTCCAGGTGTCGACCGCCTCTGCGCATTTTTTATCAATCTCCTCTGTCCATGCTTTCCACTTATGTAATTTGGTTGCGGCCCAGTTGTATCTTGTGTTTGATAGTCTTCTTCTGTTTGGTTGCTTGTTTGTGTACAACTCGGGGAAGGTAATGTGTGTTGTGACAATCTTGTGGTCTATGTTGTGCATCTGCTTAGGTGGGGAAAGAATGTCTGTGGCTGTTATTATGCTGCTGCCTTTGTTTGTGGTCCATATCTGATCTATTCTACTTCCACTACATGCCAAGTTCTCTCATGTATATTCTTTTCTAAGCAGGTGTATGTTTCTGAACGTATCTACCATTTCTACTGTCATTAGATTGTTGATTAATAAGCTGTTGCTGTGTCATCTGTCTTTCCTGTCTTTCTTGTTAGGTGAGAATCTATCTAGCGAGAGTCTGTGTATATTATTTAGGTCTCCCCCCAAAATGACTTCCCAGTTGTCTTTGTTTGCTTTGTCTAGCCATTTGTTTATTTCCATTTCAAGTTTTGCTCTTTTTGTCAGGACTGCATGTAAGTATACACCGATTATTCTGAGGTATTTTTTCCTGGGGAATGCTAAGTCGAGGCAGATTGCCCTCCCTGCAATAGTCTATTTTAATATGATTCTTTGCGAGATGTGTATTTTTATACTTATTCTGACTCCTTCCCCTATCTGTTGTGTGCCAGATGTCCAGTATGTTGTGTATAGGTCATTTTTTCAGTATTTTTCATTTTGAGCTTTGCTGTTTGTTTCTGTAGTGATGACTACATCCCAATCATAGATGTGCTATTGCGCGAACCAAATGCCTCTTTTATTGTCATTGTTGATCCCTCTTATGTTGGTTGTGGTGACTTTGAATAATAGCGAGTTGGTGTTGTGTCGCGAGTTTACATTTGGTCGATCTGCTTTACTGCTCTGATCTTTTGTTTTTATGGTCTGTTGTTGTGTTCATGCTCTTCTAAGACTTGTTTACTTGTTCTTGGTTTGTTACTCATTGTTGAATACTAGTCGAATCAGGGTGGCTGTTTTGATCTAAAAGATTGTTACTGAATAGCTTCGCGAACTGTGCCATCATTTCTCCCATTTTGTTGAGTTTTTCGTTGATCTGTCTTTGAGTTGTTTTGATGTCTTCTGTCTCAGTTAGTTGTTCTGTTATGGAAATTGTGAAGTCAAAGGTGGATTCCATGTCTTCATCCATTTTATTCATGTGTCTGTGTGCTGCATCTTCCTCTAATGTGCTAACTTTTTTTTCTAGTTGACTCATCTGGTGTTGTACTTCAGTTATTGTTTCTTGTATGTGGTGGACGAGGGCAAAGAGCATGCCGTTTGAGGGGTGGCTCATGTTGGCCCCTTGAGTTACATCGGCGTAACTTCTGTTGAATCTGTCGTGCCTATACTGGTTTCCATTGTTGTAGTGTGTTTCCTCTTGATCTGTGGAGAATCTGTCTCTGGGGTATGTTCCATATCTTATGCGAGCATTGTCTGGAGGTTTAATGTTGCAGTTTGCGATCATGTGTTGAGTGTCCCGGCAGTAATGACAAAGTTTCGCTGTTCTGGCCGCCTATGTGAGCTTGTATCCTTTGAAATCAATGTCGCTTGCCGTTGCTTTGGTAAGGTCCTCCTGGGAGGTGAAATTTAAACTTGTGAATCTTTTGCGTGTTTCATTTGTTTGCGGTATGTAACACGCTTTGGCGCCGACTTGTTGCATGATGTCACTGAGGTCTTAAGCTGTTATCGAGTTTGGAAACTTTTGTTAGTGTAATGCTGAATTCGTTTCTTTCTAGTCTTGTTTTTCTTGTACAGTAGTATGGAAGCATTCTCATTGTCATGCCCTCTATCGTTACTGACCAGTCATTTATGGTTGTGTTATAATCCAATTGGTGAGTAAAGGTTACTATTACTGACTTGTGTGGTCCTGTTGTTTGCATCTAAATGTACTCAATAGGATCAAATTTGGTGGCTCCTGTCGTGATATCTCTCTTGGACAAGTGTTGAAGGATATCCCGGATTCTAACTGATTTATAATTGGTTTCGTATGTGTTTAGTGTCAGTGCTAACCTTGATTTGGAGTTTTCAAACTCTGATATTGGGTCTGTGCATGCTTCCTCGGCATCTGTATAGTTAATGAAGATGACCGCGATGTTTGGTTCTTCTGTTGGCTTTTCTACTTTGACATGTTTAAGGGAGAACCTACTTGTCTTTCTTTCCCATATAAATCAGATTTTTTCCTAGTTGTCTTTCCCAGATACTTGGTCAAGCATGAAAAATACTTTGCTGCTGCGAAGTGTGTTCACGTTTTTGTTGTTGCTGTTGATGTTGTCATTGCTATTGCTATTGATGTTGTTGATACTGTTATTGTTGCCCTGGACTGATGTATCTGGTACCTTTCCTTTCCCTTTCTCGGCGTAGGTGAAAGTTCTATTCTCCTCTTATTCTTTTTTATTTTTTTTTTTCTTTTTCCTCCTCTTCCGTTTTATCTGCACACTCCAGGTTTGCTGTCGATCTTGTTTCTGGATACTCCTGATTGTTAGTTCAACTATCCTTAGTATCTGAAAGGTTTTCTATCATGCTGACATTAGTCATATCTGTTTCTAGCACACTTATGGACTTTAGGTGTCTGTGGTTCGGGATATTCATTTTCTGTGTTACATCTGCTTTTATATTACTGATTGGCGTTGATCTCTTGAAAGGGGTTGTTTTCTTGACAGTTGTTGTCTTCTTAACAATTTTTCTATTGTTTCTTGCAACTAAGTTATCATTGTATTCGGATGTTGTGTCTCTAAGAGAGCTGCGCAGAGTATGCTGGCTAGACATATTGTTTAAAGCTTCTTAATTTGGTAATATAATAGAGTGGGAAAGATTTACACCACATATATAACTCGTACCATTATCAAGCATTTGCATAAATTAATTGTCATTAAGTGCCTACATACAAAATACAAATAATCTATCTTTAACAAGCAATGAATCAAACTTGATAGGAAATCTTATCAATTTTTCAGACCCTTCTATAATCTCAAATAGTATCTTGAGCTTACTATTAATAAAATCTAAAAATTCTAAAGAATAAAGAATTATTAATCTGTTAATAGAGAGTAATTCAAGCTCACAATATTCCATAGACAACACTATATTAGTATTATCAATTAATACTACTGAACCTTTTGTCAATAAATCATACTTTGCAATTTTTACAAAAATACTATTAAAAGATAGAATCTTCTTTAGACATTTATTAAAAATAAAAACCTGAAAGGAAATTATTAAAAAAATACAAATTCCTTAAAAATAAGTTTTATGAAAATTTGAAGATAGGATCTCTGATCTTTCTGACAATTGCAGGCTGAAAACAGATCAAAGCAGGAAAGGTTGCATGAGAAAAGGCTTCTGGTCTAACTCCATAAAAGTCCACAACCCCCCTGGCATGGCAGTCTCCATAGCACCAAAAGTGTATTAACCCAATTAGACAACTTTGAAGAAGATCACTGTACAGACATTTAGATGTAGATAAAGCTTGTGGCTATTTTATAGGAGTTGCGCCCTGCTTGGCATTTATGTCCCTAGATTTGGTTAGCCTAAGTCAACTGAGAGCCTATGGAGTGTCTACTGGAAGATTTAGGAGTCATGTCCTACTTGGCAGCAACTGAGCCCCCAGATTTGGTAGTGTATGCCAATTATAAAAACAACTCTCAGAGTATTTACTAGGAAGTATAGGAAAGTAAGACCACAGGTACCATGGATATTTGAGCTTGAGGTGTGAAGTGATAAGGAACCTAGTGACAGTTAACATGCTTACCATCAATTAACGATTATTTAAATAGTTCAAACCTAAATGTGAACATATCCACGAGATGTAAGTTAGTATTTGGGTATAAATAGATAGTGCTAGGATTAGATTAGCTAAGTAGTTAGTTAGATCTTTCATATAATTATCATAAAACTAAGGTTTAATAAATGTCTCGCATGTAATGTACTTTTATGAAAATTACAAAAAACACTACAATATAGAAAACATCAATTATGCCATCAAACAGAAAGTATGCTAGATCCTGAATTCATCTCTCTTTGTTACCTGTTTAAGATTCACAAATCTAGTCAAGCTCAAATTCTATGAAATAGTCCAACTACTAGAATTTGATTACAATTGTTTTTTTAAAAACTATGACAAAACAGTTGACTATGTAGAACTACTAAAGCTTTACAAACAGCTGCTTTATGAATCTCTTCTACCCCTTTCAAAACTTATAATCAAATTCCTATAGAAATAATAATCAAACTTCTTTGCTTTCTACTATTAGAGGAAAGAAACATCTACTGGCTATTCTTTCAATACTACATATATACTACAAATTTATCCTTCTTCATAATTCATACTTTTTTAATTTTTTTTATTACAAAGAAACCCTCTGACCTAAACAATAAAACAGTTTATCTGTTTTCTATTACAATAAAAAAGAATCTAAATTTTCTTTCAAACAGAATTCAAATTCTTAGTAAGTTCTAAGAAATTTCTTCAAAACTACTTAAATTATATTTTGACCTTTTTCTATCAAAAGAGCTTCTATTGGTATTATTATATAAGCTTTTACCATCACACCTAACTATATATTTCTCTTATAATCTGGTAACCATGGATATACAGGAGCTAATAAACATTTTTTGAGAAGGGAATACATTTTCAAGACCTTATCACCAAACTTCTATAAGTTTAAAAGATCTCTTATTCACTTCTCCAATACTCTCCTGGACAAAATTAATATAATTATCCTAGCAAGTACAAAGAAAAATGTCATTGCTCTTATTAATCACCTCAAAAAAGACTTCAAATTTAATTTTCTACTGGGTTCCCTGTGGATCAGCCCATTTATTTTACAGATAGACAAGAAAAAACTACCTCCTAAAATTATTAATGTCAATATATTTCTTGAAATCAGAATGCATATAGATTACAGGAACATCTATTTTCTGTCCAAGTTAAGGAAATTAAGTACAAGATACGAGTTCCATACCTTGTCCAAGAAGTGGTTTAAGGTTCTAAAAGCTCCACTACTAACTATAGAGGAGCTCAACAAGTATAATAAAGAGAATTAGATCAATATTCATTTTCTACTTAGAGATAATAATAAGCTACCTTCATTTATAGCATAATTCTATAGAAGTTATAACTTTGATAAATTGCCTGTTGACTATATTCTAACCGAAGATTGACTAGAGCCCAGTTTTGATTTTATTCCCTTTATCTACTAATATGCCTGAACCATCCAAATTCATATACTCATTAGATAAAAATATATATAATATTATCACTTTTAAACTCCTATCCATCAAACAAAAAATCTACTCAACATCTCAACACTAAATATATATGGGTTAAACAATAAATCCAAACTTATGGTCCTAGCACATAATCTCAAAAATGAAAAAACAATTATATGCTGCTCTGAAACAAAAATATCAAAAGACAACCCCTTTTAAAAAAACTCAACAATCGAATCATTATTGCTACATCCTCTTATGCTTAACAAAAAATGACACATGTTAATAATTGATAAAGATCCAAGTAATCATATATTTGAAACTTACATTGAAAATAAGTACTGGTGTATAGTATATATAAAATTCAAATTAAAAATCAACCTAATTATTCAATCTATCTATCTTCTATATAAATCTGTGAAAAGGAAAATAATAATAAATTTTTTTATCAAATATATCAAAAAATATTAAAAACCAATACACTATATATGTTGTTACATTATAGACTCTTTCCGCTGATCCTTTTGCCAATCCAAAAAACAGACGTTCTCAAAGATATTTTATTATTTTTGATAATAAAGTCTATACATTTTCATTAAAAACATTAACTCCTGAAGGCAAGTGCCTACTCCACTTGTTTACACTTCCTTCTTTGAAAAACTTTGGATATTTCAGCAACAAAATAAACAAAACTTTACCCATTTGGTCTACGGCAAGAACACCTTACTGGAAAGAAAAAACTTGTAGAAAAATACCCTCCACTATTTTCTCCAAAAGGTCTGGAACTCTAGAAAGTGAACCACTAGTGAATGCATTTCCCAAGCTCCATAAGAACCTTGGGTCCACCATA